GGGGGGGGGGGGGGGGTACCCTTCATTGGGGGGCACTGCAGTTGATTGGGTCATGTAGATTGCCTTTGGGTGACACGCGAGTGGCGGTGTTCGTGAATGCTTCGGTCTACAAGCGTTTGCCGTTGTTTGCACAGATTGACCGAGCGAGCTAGATCAAAAACGAAGAATGTCAGCTAGATCAAATGCTAGGAGGCCCGTATGAGAGTGCACCGAAAAACGATGACCTATTCCACGTGATGAACCTACCCAACACGGGTGGACTACATGCTCACATCGAACCTACAACAATATCTTTAATCATACCGTGTTACCCCCGTAAATGAGCAGCAACTGTTGTAGCATAGTTGTGCGCTCTGTTCTAGATCTGGACCGTCGGAGACAAGGTAAGCGAGCTGTCGCGGTGTCAACGTCCCTCGTCGTCTTCTTTTTGTTGGGGGGGCACGCACTTTTGCAGACTTACGGAGTCAACCCCACGAACCACGCCCCCCCCCGCTCATGTCCCCCCCCCCCCGCCCTTACCTTTCCGCCATGAACACCTGTTATCAGCTCCTTGCCCACTCTCCCGTGGCACCCACCGTCGAGCTCTTGGACATGCTGAGGGATTGCTTCCCGGCCGTCGGACCGACAACCAAGGTGTCCCGCTGCCGTAACCCTCATTGTCCGTTTTGTTTTTCGAGTTTCTCCTACCGTTGTTCCATTACGCCATTTGTGTGCGGTGTGTAAAAGTGGACATGGGGCATTGGTTGAGTCTTGAATCACAACGCCTGAAAGAATGGCGTCTGAATGAAGGGCTTAGACAGAGCAGGGATGGGCAGCGAACGGAAAAAGTGCGACAGACGAACGTATAGGTGTGCGATCGTCTTTATTTTTTGAGCTCGGGTGGTTCTCCTCAGTCAAGATGTTGGCAAGGCCACAAAAGGGGGGGCTTCGGAAATATCACGTCGAGAGTGCTCCTTGCAGCACGTGTCTGTTGGATTTCGCATCCTCTTGGTTGTGAAGCAATCGAAATAGTAAGAGCAATCGAACACCTATGCGTACACCCGCCGCATATGTAAGGCATACGACACGCAAGAACCACCGGCAGCAGCACTTGTCCGCTCCTGTTGGATGCTCGATCGAAAGGCACCCAGCCTACCCTCTACCTCCCCCTCTCCAAACCGCATTTTTTTAAGATACAAATTGGCAGCGTAGGAAGGAACGATTGGCCATCGGTGATCGGTCCAACGGGAACAACGCTCCGTCCTCTCTCGGGAACGCGAGGCCAATGCTCTATTTAACAAGAATGATATGCAAAACATGAGTACACCCCCCCTACCTCCCCACACCGCGGCTAGGTGCACCTCTTCAGTGCGTCGGTGTCCCCCGAGCACTGGGCGTTCCTGAAGCACTGGAAGGCGATTTTCCCTGCGGCGGAGGTGTGGGCTGTTCCCGGACCCCACCGGCGCCTCGTGGGCGTGGAGGCGAGTGTGGGGTCGTGTGGCGTGTCGGCTGGAAGCACGTTCGTTCGTCCGTTGGTTGATTCCGTTCGTTCTTCGAACGTAAGCGGGAAGACGTTCAGGAGTACCCACGTTTCCGGCGTGTGCTGAGGGTTTAGAAACGTGGACAAGAGAGTGCGCACATTTCCGGCGTGTGCTAAAGGTTTAGAAGCGTGGGAAAATGCGACAATAGGTTTTTCCCGCAGACGCTTGCATGTACCAAAACTTTCGCGGGGTGCAGCAGTGCTATGTAGGATGACACAAAAAAGACGTGCTACGGGCGACACGGGGCGAAAATTAGGCGAAAGAGTTTACACGCCTGGGGGCATTAGGCCTCGACAAGGCGGAACACGATAGCCTAGGCGTGCTGCGCAACACCAGGACCTTCATCCAACAGACGAAGGGACGCGTGATTTCACGAAGTTGTGGAGTTCCCCTCCAGTTGCATGGTTCACGGATGGGTAGGAAGCAGACCACCGCAGCAGCCGCTATTTAGCAAGCTTTCGTTTCCCTCCTCCTACAATGTCTCCCAGCACCCCAACTCATCCCGCCCGCGTTCTGGCACCCTTTTTCGGCGAAGCACAGGTGGACCACGACATCGAACAGATCAGCGGGGTGCCGGAGCGGCTGGGCGGAGAAGTGGAGGTGGCCGTTTTGGAGGGCGTTCCCATGGTCAGGGAGGCGTTGCTGCTGCACCGGCCGACGGGGACCGTGTTGTCGGCTGACCTCCTGCTGGCCATGGATCCGAGCGCTATCGCCGTGAGTCGGGTGCAACCACAGCAGTGCTGTCGTTCGCGATAATTTTGGGTCTCCGCACGTAAATATTTTCTTCCGAACAGGGTTAGGGTTAGGGAGAGGGTGGGAAAATTGCTCCGTGGCAAGCCTCAGGATGTTACCAACAGCCTCTTCATGCTTCAGCAAACCACCTGACTGTACATGCGAACGTGTTTTCTCTTTTTTTGTTTTCTCGCATCGATTCACCTGCCTCCCGGCCAACGGTTTGGGGCCTGCGTGTCTTGTCGGTAGGCACAAGACGCTGCCGCTGGTGGTGAAGGACAGCGACCCGAACCCACTTCTTCTGCTACGGCGTTCTCTCCTCCTGGCGAATCTCCGACGACTTCTTCAAGCCTCAGGGTGGGTCCCTGAGTACCGTAGGCTACACGAGATACTTCCTCCTTGGACCGGTTTACAAAGCTCGACTGCTCCACAGCAGAAGATAATAGTGGCCGCGCCAAAATTGGCGGCCTTGGAACGTCGAAAGCTTTCTGAACAAATGTCAGTTGACTTTTTTAGCACCATCTTCGTCGTGGAGCAATAAAGCCTTGAAAATCGGTCCAGGGGGTGTGGTATCTGAAATGACAGAATTGCTACAAAATCTCGACGAAGCCGGTTTCTTTTTTCGTGTCGGATTATGTTTTTTCCGCTCTCTGATGGAACAACGCACCCACAAACAACTCCATGAGATGTGTTTCCCCCGGGCGCCTAAAAGAAACCCTGTGACCGCCCGACAATTGATTCTCCCGAACCAACAGCCCAAGAGGTTCGGAGAGCACAGCGGTAGCTTGGCGGAAGTGGAGACATCGCCGGACTCGGAAAAGAAGGGAGGGGGGAGCAGGTGGCGCCGCCTCCGTTGGGGGATCCTGGACAAGACCGCCTCCCTGCTCGACATGAACACCCTCGCCGTGTTCGCCCCGGTCAAGACCCTCCTGCACGCCTTCAAGGGTAACAGGTGAGGGCGCTTCCCTTCTTCCTCTTCTTCTTCTTTCCTGTCTCCCTGTCTCTCCCTGTCTCTCTTTCTTTCTCTCTGTCTCTCCCCCCTCCACTCTCTTCCCTCTCCCTCTCCCTATCCCTCTCCCTGTCTCCCTCTCTCTTCCTCAAGCACTACTCGCGTAAAAGCGAAGCTCGTCGTCCCAGACGGACAAAAAACTGACGCTCATAGTGTGAAGGTAAGAGTAGACCTCGCGCACCCCCCCCCCCCTCAGGACAAATTATGATCTCTCACGCATCCACTTCATCGAAAGGGTGAGAGCTTCCGCCAGAGACCTGCTATAGCCCAAATCGCCACCACCCCCATGCGTGAGATGTCATGCCGGGGTTCCGTAGAATCAAAACTTCGCACCACCACCCGTCGTTCCGATGAAAGCCGCATAAGTTACCTTTCAACACGTCTTCCACCCTCAACAACATGTGCTTTTCCTGGGATTTTTCGAAATGTTAATGTTTTCCGGCGTCATCTCTTCTCCACAACAACAACAACAACAACATCGCTTTTCCCGCGGGTTTCTGCCCAAATTTGTCCGGCGATATGTCTCCTCCCACCAGCGGCGCTTTCTCTTCCCGGGTGTTGAGCTGGGACACCAAGGTGCTCGTCGCCTGCCACGGTCAGTCGCCGCTGGAGGGTCCCGAGCTGAAGGGGATGCTCCACGCTGCCCTCGGAAGGTACACTCGTCCCCCGGTTAGGGACGCCATTATTAAGGGCACTCCTCCGGTCAATGACTCGTTTTTTTTTCACAGGCATGGTGCCCCTCAAGATGTACAACGTACGGGGGGGTATCAATCATCAGGACACTTTTCCTCGGCTTAAGGACACCCGTTTTACCGAATAATCATGTGTGTGCTTAACCGAGGGGCGGCTAAAAAAAAATACTCCTGGAAGATGCCGAGATGGAGACGGATTTGGGCAGGCAGACGGCTCTCTGCGTACTTGCTCGCACGCAGATATGATAGTGCTTGTTTCTTTTCCTGCCTGCCCTTGGGAGGGGGGCGGGGGGGGCGCAGGCAAGAAACCTGGGGTAACGATGAGTTCTATACCCCGTACAGGGGCACCGTGAATGTCGAAAACCACCGCGGTAGTCCCCGTCTTTGGAGGCATCCCCCTCATCCTCGGGCCATCTTTGGCAAAGTAGGAAGGAACGGTTGGTCATCGGTGATCGATCCTGTGGGAATAACGCTCCGTCCTCTCGAGGACGCGTGATCAATGGCCTAACGAGTACGTCATGCAAAACAAGAGCACATACCCCACCCGTGGGTCACCTCAGAGCTTGAGGCAGTGCATGCTTCCTGAACCATTAAACACAATGAAGCACAGCAGTATATAGTCCGTGTATCATTTTTGTTCCCTCGGGTCCCCGTGCAAACACTCCGTGCTCAACAAGTCAAGAAATCGAAAAGAATGACTATGTGTTCAGTACCGCTCAAAGGGAACCAACCCCCCGTGCGGCTCACATAGTCTTCTTTCCCGCCATCGCCATTTTCTCCTTCCTTGTGCCGTCCGCGCTGACTGTACCTTTTCGCGCGCCCGAAAAAGGTACATCGAACCCACCAAGGACACCACCGAGAAGAAGAAGAAGTTCGGGACCCGGCTTTTAGCCTTGGTGCCCGGGCGACGCGGTGGTGAAAACAGCGGAAACCCCGACCAAGGCGTGTCGGGTCCGGGGGGACACCTTCCCGGCGAAACCTACATACAAGAAGGCGGCGGAATCTCGTCCGATGGTGACGGCGGCGGCGGCGGCGGCGGCGGCGGCGGTGGTGATCCCTTCTCGTCTGTCGCGGTAGTACCACGGTGAGATAGATAGGTCTGTGGCTGCGTATTGTAGTACGCCACACGCGGAGAAAAGCGCTTTCGCTGATCGGCGGTTGCTGGATCGCTGGCTGATCGCGTCGAGAGGCCTTCTTGCGGCGACTGAGAACGTGAATGTGCCGCATGAACCATCCATATGCCGTTAGAATTCCGGTGCACGTTGGTGGTTAAGTAAGCGCCAAGGAAATGGGAGCCCGAGTTTAACGCGCCGGTGCAACTCGGTTGCACATTTGCTAAAAATATACTTCGAAGTAGCATAGATCGCGGTGTTCTGTCGAGGCATCATGCCAGTCTGTCCGGCTCCCATCCGTTCGCCAAAAAACACACCACACGTCTTCCCGCGCCGAAAACAGGCAACCGGCGGAACCGGGGCGTTCATCACCGGCTGTTACAGCTGCTGTTGCTGAACCACCGGAGCAACAAGCGGCCAACGCCCCTTCTGCGGGGGGTGCAGGAATGCCCGGTAAGGACAAGGCGGCCGGCGGGGTTTCGCCGTGGTCGCGGCGGCTGCCTACAACCTCCGGCGCGAACGGCGCCGACAACGTCCTCGGGGGGCTCCGTGTCTCAGCGGGGGAGGGGGGGGGGGAGACCATGCTGGAGGCGGAGGCCCGCGCGAGGAGATACGTGCGGGACAAGCTGGCCGGAGACGGGGCGGGAGCGGCGGAGTTTGTCGCGCCACCGGAATCGCCGAAAGCGGCAAGAGGTCGAGCCTTCGGGGGAGAGAGAAAACCGGCACCGTCGGCGAGAACGGGGGAGGGCTTAGGGCCGGGACAAACGACGCCGCCGGCGAAGGTTGAGAGGCAGCAACCGGCGGCGGCGGCGGCGGCGGCGGCGGGTGATGTGCGTGACAAGGGCGAGGCCGGGGGGGCGGGCGCGGAGGGCGGCGACAACCCTTTCGTGGTGGGGGCTGATACCAGGTATGAGAGGTTCGCGGGGTGTTGTTGTTGTTGTTGTTGTTGCTGCTGCTGGTGTTGTTGTTGTTGCTGGTGTTAGTGTTGTTGGTGTTGTAGTCGCCGTGACGCGGACCTGTGTACGGCACCTCTTTTTGTCTACTCTTCAAAGCCAGACTACCGTGGTCACAGCCTAAAGCAACGAATCCACGGTATGAGCACATTGGCCTGGGTTAAAGTTGCCACCGTGAGGACCCTGAAAGGGTCTTTCGGGGAGAGAGGGAGAGACGTGCGGCTCCCTTTCAACCTTCGAGTATGACCTACCCGGGTTCTTGACCAGCTTTCGGAGAGAGCACGCGATGTGGCACTATACTTTCCGATGTTCAACTAGACGTCGCTCCGGCCATCACCTACGGTCGCCAAAACCTTCTTTATGATCGCTATTTACCCCCGATGGGGAAAATGGAGACGTGCTAGGGAGTTCCACTGTCAATAATTCCGCCGTGATGTCAACACACCCTTTATCACGTGGCTGTATCTTTCGTGCTTTGTGTCGTTCTGTTTTGAAACGCCTGCTCCAAGGTACGACGAGGGTCCCGTGGGACCGATCGGAGAGGCGGACGATGACCCTTTCGAGGCGCCCTTCTACCCCTTCGATGCCGACGGGCCGCCATTGAATGGTCGAGCCCTCCAGTAGTCGAACGTGATCTCCACCCAATACTCTGCTGTACTATAGTCTACGTGACGAAACCATCCATTCTATTACACAAGTACTACAAGTTACCGATATGAACGAAAAGGCTAGCTTCATTCGGGTGTATTGTGGTGTAGCACACTTTGTTTGATTGATGTGCATTTCAAAGGTCTGTGACCTCTCGCAGCTAGTCGATATATTGTTGAGGCGAGAGCACACGTACGGATTCACGCGCGTGGACAACTTTGTCTCGTACCGGTCGCGAGTGAATTATCGGGGTATGTATGCAGTTGTGCATCACACGGAAAACATGTCCCCCTGTCGGGAAGACGTCCGGGCTACGAAATTCAAGTCCTTGCTCGTTCCATGCTTTAGTCGTGTTTCAGATCTTTCGCATGTGATGTTTGTGACGGCAGCAGCTGCTCCAGCTGCTAGTAGTTGGTGCAAAGGGTCACGGTTCAATGCACGTGGAAGAATACATTTTCCTGTTCTACTGGTGGTTGTCTTGTGGAGGGAGATAGTCTAGGTGTGTCTGATTGTTTCGATTCCTTGGGCATCAGCCTACTTTCTGTAACTAAACAACGTTGTACCAAAAACATACATGTGAGTGGCGGCCAGGCGGGCTGCAGGTACTCTAGGTGCCACGGTTTTTATTCATGTCCAGAACAGGAAGAGGTTTGTACACGACAATCGATTACACCAGACCATTGAACAACAATAGCTGGATGATTATTGGGCGGCGCCGCTCTCGCGCAGCCTGAGCCAACGCGATCACCTGCGGCATTGCAAGTGTGAAAGTAAACCATCTCTTCGTTTTTTTCGAATCTCTTCGTCGTCACCGTTTTTTTCGAATCTCTTCGTAGTCACCGGTTTCTAGATCACCGGGGATAGACTAAATAGAGAGAGGAGGGAGGGTGGAGAAAGCTGACGCTAAGAACACCTATAGAAGCCGAAATCAAACCATTAGACTAATAGTCAGCGCTGACTAGTCTAGCTGACTAGTCTAATGGTTTGATTTCGGCTTCAATCGCAGGATGTGGGTGGCGAGTGATATGAAGCGAAATAAAGATTGGACGGATAGTAGCGCTGGCAAGGGGAGTCACCCTCCTCGGAAGTGAAAGTGACGGGGCTCACGAACCCCACGACTAACTTTTATAGAAGCCGAAATCAAACCATTAGACTAGTCAGCGCTGACTAGTCTAGTGGTTTGATTTCGGCTTCCTCTATACACCCAAGCCTCGCCACTGGTTCCCCTCAATACGGTCTCTCCCACTCTACTCACAAGCCAGCTGCCCAGCCGGGGAATTCCGACTAAATATCACTGCAACTGCACACGGATGTCTGTAATGATCAAGTTCCTCCATGAATCCCCGATGGTTCTTCGAGGCCTACCCCAGACCACTGGGCCCATGCGGTCGACCCTTCGTTCCCCATATGGCTCCCCCCCCCCCTTAGCAGGATGCAGCGCACCCTTCATGCGACTCGCCGAATACCTCACGGTGCTTCATCGCGCTTGGTGATGTGAGAGCCTGGTCCGGTGAGAACCTGGCGTGCTTCGTCCCGGCTTTGCAGGGATGCGAAGTCAATGGTCTAAAGACTACGGCATGCACGACTACGAGTATCCCCCCCGACTGTCTGAACTTGTCGTTTCTACAAAAACTATTCCCCCCATCAATTGCTCATTTTCCACGACACTCGTTTCGAGAGTCCCACGTTGTTCTGAGCACATTGCCTCTAGGCACTGAGTTCCGTTTCCTTTCCCTCTGCATTTCCTCGTTCGGACCCCCCCCCCCCCCC